TGAGAAATGTTTAAAGTGATCCAGAGCAACAGTGGAGGTAGGGTTCAAAGTGACTTTTTTCTTATGAACTATACATTTCTACCTTACTTGATCTCACTCCCTTACCTTCTTTCTCAGCTCCTGTCACAAAATTATGGCAAATGCCCCTCCCAAAATAGAGGGCTAAACAAAACCAGCAAATCACTTGGAGGTGTACTTATTTGTTATATTTCTCAAAAGAAACATGTTCCAGTCACCTGATTTAACAATTAAGGTCAGGACACAAACCCTACCCAATAAAGGGCAACAGGTGCACGCTGTCACCACTGCTCGGCGGGCTTGGTCCTACTTTACACATATTTACTCGGACACTTGCGATATGCCAGCAAGGGCACCCAGCCAGAGTCAGGGGCCTCTGCTCTCACAGGGCTCACAAGGCTCACAGGCCAGCAGGCGACGTAGATGTCAAATCATCGGCCCAATTTATTTCTAAAATGCACTTGCAAATCATGGGTGTGCTATGGGGAAGAACATTAGGATTCAAGGAAAGAGAAAAATAAAAGGATTCCCCTTGGGCCGAGGGACCATCGGGACCTCTCTGGAGGTGCTGGACACTGACCAGTGAAGAGCAAGGACCAGGGCTCCTCGAAGAAGGAAGAGCCATGAGAAGGTCTCCAACCAGTGGGCTCTGAGGCATATCTAAGACCGGCCCCAGCACGGAAGGAAAGAATCAGGACAGCTTGCATGAAAGCTAAACATGACTTGCATAAGGCCAGTGTGGCGCGCTCTCACTCTGGAGCCAGCCTGGAGTTACACCCAAAGGACGCAAAACAAAGTAACTGGAAAGCAATTCCAGTCTTTCCTGAAGTCTCCCAGAAGCACGCTGCAACATTCAACTTCGAAATGACATTTAACCTCAAATAACATGTAACCTCGAAATAACATTTAACCCTCTGAATAACGTTTAACCTCAAATAACATTTAACCTCGAATAACATTTAACCTCAGAATGACATTTAACCTCGGCAAGCCCCCAGCCCCTCAGCTCACACAGGCTCACAGTGCCCTCTCACCAAGCTGCGAGTAGTGACAAACCCTGGTGGCTGCTTACCGTGGAGGCCACAACTAGCCTGGGTGGGAATTAGGAAAAAAGAATCCCCTCTGGGCAAGCACAACGCTAGACATACTACGTGAGAAGTAAAGGAGTTTTACGTGACGTCAGGACTGACGTCAGGGCAAGTGCAGTACACTCGGGGCTTCCGCCCGGTACAGGCCACACCGCGGGCAGCAACCCCTGGCAGAGCAGCTGCTCTGTATCTGTCACTTGAAATGCTGGGAAATACTGAAGAAAATGTGATCACCTTTTGATAATGTTTCTTCTAGTGTCCAATGACAATTTTTTGATAAATAAAAGTATCCTTGACTTCAAGACTAACTACAAAGCTACAATAATCAAGATATTGTGGTACTGGCAAAAGAACAGACCAATAGACCCATGGAACAGAATAGAGAATCTGGAATAAACCCACATACACACAGCTGACTGGCCTCTGGGAAAGGGGCAGAAGCAGTGACACAATGGAGCAAACACATGGTGGTGGGACAGTGGGCATCCACATACAGAAAACGAATCCACACACAGACTATACCCGTCATACAAATTAACTCAAAAGAGACCACAGACAAAAATGTAAATTGCAAACTATAAAACTCCTAGAGGATAATAAGGAAGAGACCTAGATGACGTTGCATTTGGCAATGACTTTTTAGACACAGTACCAAAGGCACAGTCCGTGAAAGAAAGGGCTTATAATCTGAACTTCATTAAAGTTAAAAACTTGTACTCTGCAAAAAACAATGTCAAAAGAATAACAGAAACCAAATACTTAGAGGATATGGGAAAAATACTTGCAAAAAGACACATATGGTAAAGGACTGGTATCCAAACTATACCAAAAACTCTTAACACTCAACAATAAGAAAATGAACAATCCAGTGAAAACATGGAAAGAAGACATGGACAGACACCTCACCAAAGATACACAGACAGCAAAGAGACACATATATGAAAAGATGCTCCACACCATATGTCTTCAGGGAAATGCAAATTAAAACAATGAGATACCATTACACACCTATTAGAATGGCCAAAATCCAGAATCCCAACACCACCAAATGCTGACAAGGAAGCACAGCGACAGGAAGTCTCACTCACTGCTGGTGGGAATGCAGAACGGAAGCCACTTTGGAAGACAGTTTGGCAGTTTCTTTTAAAAATGAACATATGACCCAGTAATAGTGGATCTACTCAAATAACTTAAAAACTTACATTCACACAGAAACCTGCACATGATGTTTATATTTATAGCAACTTCATTCAGAGTTGCCAAAATTTGGAAACAGCCAGGGTGTCCTTCAGTAGGTGAATGGACAAGTAAACGGGTCCATCCACACGATGGAATATTATTCAGCACTAAAAAGAAATGAGCTCTCAAGCCACGAACAGACATAGAGGAACCTTTAATGCATATGCTAAGTAAAAGCAGCCAATCTGAGAAGGCTACTTACTGTACGATTCCTACTATAAAACACGCTGGAATAGGCGAAACTATGGAGACAGCGTGTGAAGGACCAGGGGTGGCCAGGGTCCTGGAGGGCAGGATAAGAAGGCAGAGCCCAGAGGGCTTTAGGGCAGTGAAGCTATTCTGGAAGATGCGCTAATGGCAGATACATGTCATTTTTACACATTTGTCCAAACCCACAGAATTTACACCACCAGGAGCAAGCCCGAAGGTGAACTGCGGACTCTGGGTGATGGCCATGCAGGTTCTGGATTGTGACAAATACACCCTGTGGAGGGGACGCTGACAATGGGGGTGGGGGAGGGCAGCGGAAATACAGGAAATCTCCACACTTCAT